GCGACACTGACATTCATTTTAGATTACTTTAATGATGTTCACTTGGTACAACTAAATGTTTCAGACCCCATTCTTTGTTGGCCATGCTCCCCAGGTGGAGCACATCTATTCTTCTCCGTTCTGCTGATTTACAGACTGCTTCCCCAGCCTTACTGCTCAGATTTGTGTGCTCTACAGAAGCAGCCAGTCGCGTCTCTTTCCTCAGGTGGACACATCATATTCTTTGTCATTTCTTCCAAAAGGCCTTGCAGCAGATCTGTCTCCTGAGTTCCCCTGAGATCTTCCTGTCTTAAAGTTAGACTGATTAATGATGAACTTGGTGGGGCTGGACCCCTCTAAGGGAGACCACAAATTACTGTCCATGCATCCTCTGCATACCGGTATCTCCATACTACAAGAATCTTAATATAACCCCCCAAAACTGAAGTATCTAGGAAAGTTTTAGGTTTCCATATGTGTACTGGATCAGTTGTAGAGCCTGACTAGCACTTTCCAATAATGAACAGTGGTATGAAAAATGTTGCAGTCATGACAGGAAGACTCGATTAGTGGATACAGAGAAAAATAAGTCATATGCAGAAGCCTGTAAAGATGTCTGCCAACAGGAAGGAAGAAGCAGATAAAGCAGACAGCAGCAGACAGATAGCATGGACAAAGAGAAACTGAAAACACGAAGGAAAAAAAAAAGAAATAGGATAATATGACAGTAAAGGAATGAATTAACTCAGGAAAGATGACTAAAATCTTATCATCCAAGTCATATAACCAAAACACTACAATTAATATATCAGATTCAGCTCAGAGAAAATTCAGTTTGCAAGCATAAATGATGGTGCATTCCTCCTTGAAAGACGAAAGTTTGACGATGGGAGGAAAACCCTGGGAGCATAAAGCAGAGCACTGCAAGGAGCAGCCCCGGGAAGCCAGGCCAGAAGACCAGCGTGCCTAGCAGGGGTGCTGACTCCCAGCAGCTGCTCAGCTTTGTGCCAGAGAGGATTCGCAGCAGTGCCCTTGCGACTGCACCATCAAATGTGTGAGGGCAGCTGAAATCAATCACGGTGACCTGGAGTAAAACGCTATTGCCATTGGCATTTTGCTACAGGTCAATATAGTGCAGAGTTATCATTTAGTGACCAAAATAAGTTGGTTTTGCAAAGAGACTCTTTCTTCGTTCCTTTAGTTTTAAGCCATTGCTTCATTTACCTTTCTACAATATCGCTTGGTATTTTTTCATTTTGTTACTGTTAATAGCCCATTCTACAACTAGAACAGTATCACAAGGCAGCCTAGCATGATCTGATAATTTTGGTCTCATTAATTTAGCAAGCAGTATGAAAGTGGTGGCACAGAAGTATAAATAATACTGTACCCACAGTTAGAAAAATATTACAAAAATATTGGTGTTTTCAGACGTGGGTTTGCATAAAAACACTCTATGGTCCAACTGAACAGCAAAACTCCATCTGCTTCAAAGAGAGCCAGCATTTCACCTCATGAATCCAGCAGCTGGATTCCTTTCCTGTGTACATATATAGGAATAAACTTTTGTCTATATGATACTCAGGGAAAAAGAATGTGCTCTGAATGCTTGCGTTCAAATATTTTGCATGACTATTCAGTTCATAAGTGTTCATGCAGTCAGTTTAAACATTAGTGGGTTTAGCAAGAAAGCAGATGGTCCTGTATGTGACTTAGGTACCAAAGCACAAATTATGAAAATTTTGAACAAAAGTGTAGTTGATTAAACTACACACAGAATAATTTAAATCATTAGTAACTTATTATTTGCTTTCCTAGGCTTAACTATGTTCTATCCAATTAAGAAAAAAGTTGAACATAATCACCTTGAACTTTTTCTACCACAGTTTTTATTAAAATAATATCACTTTTATTAAACTTCAAACTGCATCATGTCCACAAAAAAGAAAACAACCAAGACTACATATGCAAGTGCAGCAAGATCATGTGAGGTGGGAGACGTGCCTAGGGAAAACAGAACTGATGTTTGCAGATGTATTCCTGACCAGCCTTGGCAAGGTAATTGTGTGAGAAAGCCAACACAAGTGTCAAAAGTCTTGAACAATCAGGTGTGGTGAGACTGAAGGCCATACAGGAAACAGCTGGGTGGCAATGACCCACTGTATTGACATGTATAACGCAAATTTATCTTGGAATCCTTAGCACTTCTAGACAGCAACAGGATATGTCACAGTGACTACATGTGTCAATCTAAGTGCCTTCCAGACAGGATGAGAAAGCTGGTGACCCACAGTGCAGTATATGTAAAATACCAAAGAAAGCAATGCTAAAGGCTGCAATCCAGCAGTCAAGGGCAAAAGTTAACCAGATGATTAATTCATATGTTCCATTGTCTTTTGCAGATAGATATCCATCATTTTTCTCTCAAAAATCAGTGCTGCCTTATATCCAATGATATAACATAAGGCAGATATATAGGCAGATTTTACTCTCAGTTGGAAACTCAGACTAGGTATTCATTACATTTTGATTGAAAGACCTTTTATGTGATCACTGTTATAATGAAACATTCCCAATGTACAGCATTGAATACCACAGAGCCACGTAGGAATACCACGTTTGATTAATATGTTTACTAACCAAAGAAATCAACCAAAGGTCTATTGGAAACAGCACTCACAAATGGTCAAGCTTGGGGACAACACAATCTGTAATGCAGAACTTGCATCTGCTCAGCAAACCTGAAGAGACATTAACCCTAGCAAGTCCCCCAAATTTGTGCCTATAACTACTGCTTAGATAACCTGGACATACTGCTGAGGCTACCAGGTACTGGGAAACAGGGTGGCATGGATCGCCATCACTGATGAAGAAAAATAGTATTCAATACTTTTAGGCTGATACTTTGAAGTTTTCATGAAACTTGCTTAAAAGGTGAATAAACGAGCATCCTTCAAAGACATGTGCCTGGAAGAAACTGGGCAAAGGGCTTCCACTAAGCTTTACTGGGAACGTTGGACTTGTAAGGAGGGAATACAGAAAGGCTGCAGAAATTAGTAACTTCTTGAATGCTCAGCACTTCTATAAATCCAGGTGGCCAGGGGAGGTTTTCAGACCATCACATGCACAAACTGGCCTTACTCTTTAAGGATCATCTTTTAAAAGTGCCCAGCTGCCTCCATTGAGAGAGAACAGAAAGAGAGATCTAATGGCTGCCAGGTTGTTTTTTGGAGGTTGCTTTGTTTTGTGCATTTTTTCTTTAAAAAACAACCTCTAAGATTACAAGTATTGTCAAACCCATGAAACATGAAATGGCAAACTGGGATCACAGTTTGGGTCCATCTAGCCTGTTACTTTACTCACTAGCACTTCAGCAGTGCTCAGGACCAGATGCCTTGAAAGGATATGATTCCCATTAGGTCTCACGCTAATCACTAATAGTTCCCAAGTGTTTTAAACACTGAAGGCAAGATGCTTTATATCTTTCTCCACACTTTTTTAAAGAACCAAGAAATATCTCTCCGTAGGCAATGTAACTGCATTCTTTTTTTCTGGAAATAGTATTTGCAAATCTAATTTACTTTTCATGCAATATTCATTAAAGAACAACATTGAAGAGGAAACATAAAGAATATTTTCTACTAAAAATAAGCAAGCAAGCAGGAATTGCATTGTGTTGAAAAGTTGTATTATTATCTTCATGTCACACATGTCATAGAAAAGGGCTGTTCATCACTTTGGTAATCAAGAGATGAACAGTCTGCTCCTTCTTCATATTTCTATATAGCATGTCTGAGACCACCAATGCATCATCTTTGGAAGGCAGGGAGAGGTGATACAAAAAACTCCAAGGGAAAAATTAAGTGACATGACCAAAATCTCATGGGGAAATATGTGGCAGGGATTAAAAAGGAAACCAAATGTTCAGAATCCCAACCCTATGCTTTAACCACAAAACCAACTTTCTTCACTAATACTGAATTAACCCAGTAACTAAAAACAAAGGAAAACCAAGTACATATATTATGTGTATCTTGCCACTTTAACAACTCTGATGACACTCAAGTGTCCTCAAACTAAATAAGAAGCAACTACAAGTATATGTTTAATCCCAGTGTGGTAATCAGTTCCACAAACCAAAAGTACTAGAAAAGCAAGGGAAAGTAACCTCACATAACACTGCTTGCTGAAGCTGTTAAACCACACACGCAGCCGTAATGTACTGACTGAAAGATCTACAGGAATATATACTACTGACAAGAAGGGACTCAATACTCATGTTCAAAGCATGAAATATATTTTCAACTACAGCAGAAAGACCAGTAGAAAATCAAGCAGAAGTTTTTTAACTGTTATTTAGACTCAGAAAGAACCCCCTTACAAAAGAAAAAACCTTAAGCAGTCTAAAAAACGTTGTGGCATCCTACTTCAGACAAAATTTTTTTTTAAATCACAATGAATCAGGGCTAGATAGGGGCTAGGAAGAAGCTATTTTGCAGAAGAGAAAAACACAGGTACTTTTCACTGAGAAGCTGTTTTTCTGGTTCAGCAGTTCTGCAGCAAGAGTAACCAGATCATTTGAAAAGTGAAAAGAAAATCAATTACTTGTTTTTATTTTAAAAGAGCCTCCCTGTGGGAATAGGTGTGGGTGTGAGAGCTCTTTTTAAACTTCATAATATACCATGAAGCAGCCAAGATTTTTTTTTTAAAGTACTGTCATGTCATTGCTCTGCTTACTGGGTGCCGGAATGATTTTTCTCTACTTACGATTCTACCGATCCTTATCAAAATGCATCTGTGAAGCTTTTAACATTAACATTTAAAAACAGAATATTTATTCAAACAGCAACACTGAGCAAAACAAATTTCCAAGACTGCTATGCGAGTTCACTGATGACAGCAAAAGTCTATTTACCCAGTTACCCCCAAGTTCTGCATGCAGTAGGTTTCAATCAGATTTTTGTCTCAGCAAATCAACATTTTCTGAGAATTGAGATCTGCAGGTAAAGTTTACAACTAACCTTGCTATCTTCGATCTCCTGGGTTTTTCCTTGAAGCGCTCTCCTCTCTCCAAAATCACAGGTTGATTTTAACGTAAGCTGACAAGAAAGCATCGAGCTCTCCGCCCCAGTAAGCTCCAAAGACTTTGGTGAGTACTGCTGCGAGCCGGCGGGGCCAAGATTGGGTATCGGGAGGGCAGTGTGAACAGGCTTTGACCCTACGGCTGGCTGTCTTAGCTTGGAGGCAACCCCAAGCACAGGCATGGCTTCTATAAAAGTATCTTCTTTCTGCCAAAGAAAATGCTCCTGACCTCAGTCTGGTAGACTCCAGCTTCAGCAATTCCAGAACAAATACTTTAAACAAAAGTAGCAGTCATCATTTCAAAAACGTCTTAAAACAATAATATTACGAGTTTCACAAGGAAGCAAAACTTTTCCTTCATCTCTCCCCTTCTCCCTCGCAGCCACTCGCACACGCTGCTCAGTGAGTCAGTGGCTCTGTAAGACTAAACACTCCTTTGGGGCGTGAACTTTTCTTGAAGGTAACTGCCACAGAGCTGCCTGTCTGGGATTAAAGAACTCATAAATTCGCTTTCTCTTCTTCCTACAGCATTCCAGATCTGTGCGTTAAGTGAATGAAGGATGGGAGAAAAGGAGGGAGAGAAGAGATGAAACCTCCCCGTACTCCAACTGTCAAAACAGCTCCGAGACCACAACACTGGAAGCAGAGACCTCTTCCTGACTACATAAATAACCAGCCCACATCTTAAAAAAAAACAAACCTCTTTCTTTTTTTCTGATTTAAAAAAAAAAAAAAAGGACCTGAGTAGTGGCCAAAGCAAACAGCTGTTGGAAGAGTTTTTATCCCGGAAATAATCTCAGCAATGAAGCTGTTTGTCTGATTCCTGGCTATTTTTCACTGCTGACAACCATGAGCTACGGTGTTTCATTCCCTGTTCCTCCCGTGAAATCAGGTTAAAATCGTGCAAGAGTGTGGCTAGGAACAGACGCTGAATCACAGTGAATGTAACGTCTGTCTGTGCTATGAAAAATCCATACAAAAACACAGAGCAGGATATAGGAAAATCACGAGCATTGTTAGAAGATTTAGTCAATACAGCTTTTCAGAGTTCTTTTTTTTTTTTTTCTTTCTTTCTTGGTGGTGGTGCTAACGTCATCTATTCAATGTTAACGCTTCCCTTTCTAAAAACATTTAAAGCTCCATGAAGTCCATGTCCAACGCATCATTTCTGCTTGTTGCTCATAGAAATATTCTTGCTGGCAACCTCAAATCCTTGTACATGGAAATATAAGACAGATAGACAAGCAGAGCAGGCTCTAAAATGAGTCACGATGGACAGTTCAAATTGCTGAGCAGCATAAATGCTTACTTAAAAGGACAACTGTAAATTCCTTTGAGAGCCTATAGCAGGGGAACCCATTTTCAACTGTGATATAAGGAAAAAAATGTGCAGAAATGCCACATCATTAAACTCCTATGGGATTTAATTACCCAGTATTACAGACAAAAATGCTCCACATGTTTTTCTTGTTATCTCTTCCAAAATAAAACACAGAGAGATAGGATGACCTGAATCCTATTCTGCCACTAATATCCTACATGGTATTAACTATGCCTTCCCTGAATAGTTAGCATGTACTATTAACACTATAGATGTAAGCCCAAGAGAAAATAAGAGCATTCTGGACTTTTAAGTTCTCAAATGAAGGATGGCAAGAGTTAGAAAAAGCATTGAAAAGAAAACAGAGTAAATGAGAAGCAGACTAAAAGGATCCTCTTAAATCACCCTTCAAAATTATTTTGCAGAATAAAACTGTAATACACAGTATTATCCTCTATCTTTCATTTACAAAGATCACACTGACACAGTAGTTAAAAATTCAACACTCTATATTGACTTACAAACTATCCCATTCTTGTTTGTAGTTTGTAGGAGTGAATCTGACCTGGTTTAGGAATCTCCTGAGTTTTGAAGTGTGTGTACGGAGGGTCAGCAAACCCATTTCAGCATCCTCTGCTTATCTTCTCTTTTGTTTTGCCACCATTAACAGTAGCCGCAATGGGCTTTATGTAAGACTGCACAGAGGTAACCGCTCTGCCTTTTAGACAAGTTCAGCCCACAGGATCCACCACTCTGCTCCAACAAGTGGAATATTCTTGTTTGGTGTGACATTTCAGATTGTGTTCAGAGCAAAGGGGAAGAAAGCTCCTTGTGCGGTCCGCATTTGTTCTCCAGCATCATAAAGCACTGTGGCTGTGTAAGGAATTTAGGTTTCTTAGGCACAACTGTTAACAGTTAACGCTTTAGAAAGTGCACATATGCAAAGGCTGAAGCGGACCACAGGAAAAGAGGGATTTATCTCTTGCAAGGTTTGAGGAGATGAAAAATCCTCATGAGGGCTGTTAACCGATGATCAAGACAAAGAATAAACTAGAGTCATGAGACAGATACGTTCTTAAAAAGAACTTTGCCAAAAAAATGTAATTGAATCTTATTACTTCTCAGGGTTATAATTTCACGAAGTAATGCATTATGGTAATCTTGCTGTTCTTCTTTTGAATATGAATGATGAGGTCATGATACCCACAGTCTCTTTTGCAACCCATTTTCCCAACACAGAAACCCTAAAAGTAATAAGTAAGCAAGCTTACTAGGAGAGAGTCATCTGTAATACATAACCAACAGGGTTTGGAAACAATGATGTGAAGCTGGTGTTACTCTTTCAAAATAACTATTACTCTTTCAAAATAGTTATTAATTATATTATGGCTTTTAAGCTAGTACCAGGTCAGGGCCATCAACTTCAGAACCCCATTTAGCTAGAATTTTTACAATGATAAAACCGAGAAGTGCTTCTGGTCTACCAAAGATACAAAGAAGAATCTACAAGATTATTTGCAGGAATCAGGAAAGGTAATGGAGGAAAACAGTAATAATACTCCATAGGTAAGAATGTGGTTACAAGCCTGGTTGCAGGTCTGGTCTTCCTTTTTTTGTTTTCTCTCATTCTAATTCTAAGCAAAAGACAAATAAACAAACATCTGCTATCCTTAGAAATCACTTAGCTACATTTTTCGCTTAAAGGCTTTTTGTGTACCTCATGATGAATGTGGGTTTTACAAAGGATATCACGGGAAAAGAATATTCAACAGCTAAGCTTCAGTAGTGTTTTCCACGCAAACAGGAAAGCACAGGATAAATCATGTGTTGACAACATGCACAAACTGGCACCAGACGCAGGTACTGGTGGTGGAGCTGGACAGGCAGGGGTGGCACCACAGGCAGAAGGTGTCTGGGCCCACAAGGATTCTGTAAAGGGAGGAACAGGGCATAACTGTGGGGAGAGGGCAAAGCTGGAAGCTGCAAAGAAAGGCGCTTTGTTAGGCATCGCGCTGTCAGTGTGAGTTTGGTGGGATTGTCCTTGGTAGCTCTGGGGTGGGGAGCTAAGTGACCATCAAGCAGGGCTGCCAGGGAGAATCCAAAGAAAGAATGAGGATGATTTAGATATGTGCGAATAGTGTCCAAACAGAAAGAAGGCATATCTGTGAGAAACCAGGGGTGGAGAAGTTGCAAGCAGTGGCTATAACCTGGGGTTACATGAAATCAAAGATACCAGACTGCCTGGCATGAGGGACAAAAGTATTGCTGGCAGGATAGAGAAAGTAGTGAGTAAAAAGATATGGCTGACAGAAACAAGGGGTGCATATCTTCACTTGGTTACATGAAGCCGATAGAGACATATCTAGAAAGGGACTGCAAAGAAACGGGTCAAGCTAAACATTGTACAGAGAGAGGACCGGTAGATTTCTAATCTTCCTGCTTAGATATTTACCAGCTTAGACATCCTCAAGCCAGGCAGGTAGGAGACATCATCTGGATTCAGGATGCAGGAGGATGAACACAGATCATGACTGAAGCCCTGACACAAGGGAAATGAAGTTGTGCAGGAAAGGTTAGAAGGTTATGAGGAAGCTAGAAGTCAACTGAGCTGTGGAAAAAAACAGAGGGCAACATTTCAAGTGGGATGTTAGATAAGGAGATAAAAGTGGAAAGAGAGACCAAAAAATGGGAAAACAGAGCAAAGGTCAAAACACAATTCTTAGTAGTCTTGTCAACAGTAGTGGCAGTTCCAGAGAAATATTGAAGGCAGGACCATTTCTTTAGCTAATAACGATTAAAAATGATGACAATCTGGCTATAAAGCATGACTCTGAAAGCATCAATCAATCAATTTTTTTACAGAAATTATGAGTTAGATGAATGATCTGTACCTCAGAGTAAGACAGTATGTATGCATGCAGTATAATAATCCTCACATCCCAGAAAAAGCTGTAATATTGATTTCATATAACAAGAGTAAACACACCTGAAATCCAAGCCACCTCATAAAAGAAGGTATCTGTCAGTTGTAAAATTAAGGTGAATTTTTGTTCTCAAGACTTAACAGGAATAACCATTCACAGCACAACACCCCAGCATAAATCTCCTTTCCTTCATCGCATCTGATACCAGAATGAGTCCCATGAAGGCTGCTCTCCTTCTGAACCCCCAGCCCTCAGACAAACTACTCGCATGAACTGAACAGACAGCTGGCAGTGTCTCCCAAACCACAGGAAATATCAAGAGAGGGGACACCTGCCTCAAAAGTGGAGCCAAGAGATTTGTTTGCTCCTTCTGGTCTATGATCTTCGACAAGGAAGCTGTTGCATGTGTCCAGGGTCAAACAGGAAATGTCAGGGGTCCAGAGACTGCAGAGGTCTGTTCTGAGCTGTTTCCCTACTTCATCCCACTGGTGTAACAGCTGTGCCTATAGCTTATGTGAGCCGGGCCAACTTCTGAACGAGCTTGAATGTGCTGATACAATCACACGATTTTGTGCACACTGATTTCAGGTTGAGCAGAAAGTTTTCCCCAGCTGGGGACAGAGAACTCTTGAAAAAGCAATCAACGATACTAAAATACTGATGGTACCTGAAACGGCTTTTATGATTTATTTAATAAACCCAGGTAAGCCAGGTTTAAACTTTTATAATACAAGTAAGAAGCACACCGCATGTCTGTTTGGTGCAACAAAATATGTTCCATCTGTCAGATAACGATGAGACAAATTGTTCAGCTCTGACTCATGTTCACAGCATAATTCTACCGACATTATTTTTGTTATTACAGAAGTCAGGTGAATCCATTAGTCTCAAGGTAAGACATGTAACAAGTATTTAATCCTATCTGCAAGTATGTAATGCTACTGAGTAAGCTGCTATTGTTTTTCTTAACAGTTTGGAATTCCCAAAGATGTATAATCCAAAGCCCAGTTACAGTCACAGAAAAAAGGTGCATCCGGCTTCCTAAAGGAAATCCTTCTGCTTTGGCTGAATGTTTGGGGAAGTTTTTCAAAGAGGACAACTTTTAAATAAGGATATCGTTTTATCCTCTGAACAATTTGGCCCTTCAAAGCTCAGCCAGGACTTTATGGTTTTGAATGCATTAACTGATAGAAGTGACCAGATCTTTTATAATTTTTATTCATGCTGTACATTTGCAGCATCTTCCATCAGATGGTTTCAAACCTTTATGCATAACTT